TGTCACTGCAGTTGACCTTTGTTTTTTGTGTTTTTTTCTTGTCATCAAGATATCTCGAGTATCCTTAAATGGATGTTCATGTTTTTCAGTTGGCAAGTTACCATTGAAAATACCAAGGTCAAGTTCGGATATGGGCCTCGTGGGGGGGGTTCCCATGTCATTGATTTTGACCTTTTGTGGTGGTCGTTATTGTTGTTAGCGGGATAATTCGAGAAACTGCAAATGGATGTTCACGATTTTTTGCGAGCAAGTTACCGTTGACGATAGCAAGATCAAGTTCGGAAATGGGCGTCGTGGGAGGTCCGTACGTTACTGCAGTAACACTGGTCGCTTTAAATTTAGAAAAGACACCAGCAACCCCAAGTATGAAATTCCAGGCAGTTAGCATTATGGAATTATTACATTTTCTCATTAATTATGCAAATTAAGTATTAATTTACATAATCAATATCTGCCTGCGTTTCTCTCGTTCTCAATTACATGTCATAAGCTTGAATAGTCCTACAATGTAATGCAGCTGATTTATAGAATTTCTCCATTAATTATGCAAATTACATCCAGATTTGCATAATTGCCGCATAATTATACCGACCATCACGTAAGCTACCTACATACCAAAAATCACGACGATCCGTCCACCGGTTCTTGAGTTATCCTCTTTTGAATATTTTCAAAGATAGACCTGCAGTTCCTGAGCAAGCCGATAGGGGGCCCAAGCTCACGCCACTTCTTCCCCAGCAAAAGAGCTACCTACCATGCAGATTTCGTCACCCCAGCATGTGTAGATCATGAGATATCAAAACTGGAAGTTCAGCTGCAGTACCACAACAAGCCGCTAGGGGGTCCAAAGTCTAATCATTTCCAGGTCCCATCAAGACCTACCCACCTACCAAATATCAAGATAATCCACCTAAGATTTCTCAAGTTATGCTGTTGACAGACTATAGGCTATCAAAAACTCATCTGTAAATCCTCAAATACACAAAGGGAGATAAATCCCCAAGACATCGCTAATACACGCAGCTAATAGCAGGTAACAAGATCACAAGTTTTTAAAGGCTAATAACAGGTCAAACCATGAAAAATGTCAGACTTTTTGGCCATATTTTAAAAATATACATTCTTCTGTCCTTCCAACCAGAAAACTGGGCCTTTCTGAGCATAATTTGCACAAGAAAAAAATTATCTAAAAAAGAAGTACCAAAATAAATCGTCGGTGTACACACTGCTAGTATGGCAATTACCCATGACCCGCAAGAGGCCCTCTTTTGGCTCACTGTGCCCCACCGCAGTACTCAGGTCAAAATAAGTGTATACGTCCGACAATCGCCCGGACGCCGAAACTTCCCTGCCTGATCCTGTCAGTAATAAACAGGCTTTCATCTCAAATCCTTTTTAGATCAGGTCTGAGGGATGAAAGGGATTTTATGGTGGACCTAAACTCACGCTACGGCGGACACAATCATTTTTTGTCGGGACTCTTTTAGACCCTACACGTGCGGAGTAATTTTCTTTCTTGAGGAACATGCACTAAACGGTGCACACCCCAGTTCTTCCGCGACAGGGGTCCGCGATAGTCCGTTGTAAAAAAGTGACGAAAGGGTTTTGAGGGTCCAAGTTTGAGGTGACATTTCTAATAAACTGCCACGAAGTATCATTAAACTTTAACATGGCTGAAGAGTGTAAGAAATGGTGATTTTGGGGTGAAAATTTCTTTTGGCTCCGAACCTTACTTCCGGGTATCCTTGCGCGCCAAGTGTAATCCGCCCGTTTGACCTAGATTTCGCACTGCGGCTTCGTAGGGGTGGATTTGCAACCCCTCGCGCCGTGGACTGTTTAGAAAATTACAGTACTAGAATTTTCTTTATAATTTACTCGGGTATAGTCAAGGCTTGGGTCTTTATACCAGCATCAGTCATTTCTGCCGGAAATTTTTTTTTGTGGGATTAGGCCACACCGATTTAATTTTATGGATGACATCCTCTGAAGACCCCCAAACTAGTGCGCGCGGGCGAAAAAAATAAAAATCCGGCCAAAAATAAAAATGCTATAAAACCACAGGAATACAAACCTGGTATTGTGAATTTGGCGCATTACATAGCGACGTATACGACAGGCCGACACATTCTGGATTTTTGCGGAATATATGAATCGACACTGCTGTACGTATGTACTGAGTTCTTGAGTCTTGGAGCTTCGGTAGCCTGGCTGCGGTCAACCAGAGTTATCACCACCATGCACTACCCAGGCCTAAAGCCAGGCCAGAGCATCGGAATACGTGATCTTTTTTTTTTTTTTTTTGTAGATCGGGCGAAAATCAATGCGCGCGCGGATGTCATCCATAAAATTTAATCGGTGTGGCCTTATCCTACGCGAAAATTCGCAATTTTGGGCATTAATTTTGGAGTGAAAATAATGTTTTTTCCGTTGATTTTACCAAACTTAAAAAGGTTGAAGAAACCAAACTCAGCTTGTCTTGTAGCTGAAGAGATATCCTTTCGTCCCATATACAGTTATTCTCCTTCCGAATTATTCCACGCCAGAGACGGTCGCTAGATTTGAGGGTGTGCAGCTTCGAATAGAGGCCCCAAATATATTGGGGTGTGCCCCCTAAAACGCTGTTTTCCACGATTGCATAGCCACATTTAGTAAAAATATGATTGCCACAATTCAAAGAACCTTTGGGGAAAATATATATCTATTTGCGGATTAATGGCATTTTTCCACATAATTTTACGTTCGTTCAAGGACCTGTATAATGTCCTTGTTCGATAACCCGGAAGTGTTAGCCACGTAACCTTCGGCGTGACGGCCCGGTGCTCTCTATACATGTTTCCGAGCAGATCGAGGTCTGTCCCGGCAAGAAGCTTTCATCACACGGTGATAGAATGTCCTTGGTCCTGGTGATGTCCCGTACTTTAGCAT